GTTTGACCCCAGTACTCTTTCCTGCCATGGCAGGGGGTCGGACTAGATGATCTTCTCAGGTCCCTTCCGACCCTAGAAACTATGAAACTTAGTGCCAGAAGTATTGGATCACTTTCTCTATTATGTTTTTCTAGTGCTTTTTTTTTGGTCATAAAAGTAAAAAAAAACCCGTTACTTATCCAATCCAGTTATTTTCTTTAAAGGGTAGCTATAAAATTGTTTTTAATGGCTAGACTTATACCTTAACAACTGAACATGGGGAAAAATTGGAAAAGAATAGTTTGGAAAAAGGAACATAAGAGCAATTTTAACTTCTTTAAAATCTTTGCTTATTTTTCCTTACTTAAATTTAACCTACCTGAATTTTAGCATGCTGGACCAGCATGTCTTATCACACCTAGTAAAAAATATAATTAAATGAAACAAATTTTCTTGAATTTGTGAATGCTTATCTATACCCTCAAAATTAATCTGGAATTGAATATTCAAAGTCGGCTTTTACTAAAATTGCTATCATTCATTATCTGAGTTATAGAAAAGAACCCTCTATCTTGGGCCATAGTTTTAAGGCATAACAGTGGTTCTGTTGTATCATGCACTCAAACTCAGATCTGTCCATCTACCAGGAGCTTTGCTCAGTTTGCTTAGACAGAGTCAGATAAGTGAGAGAGCTGTGAAATTTGCATAGGACCTTAGAGGATGTTCCCTGTACCAAGGCTGAATTACTTGAAGTGTGTACTGATTTGGATCTCGTATGTACAACTAGACACATGTGGCCTCAAATTCTGCCTGAATTGTCCAGACTAGGGTATATGTCCCTGAATTTTACTCTGAAGGGGGATTTCAACATCCATTTGCAATTCCCATAATGACAGAGTAAATCATCTACAATGTTTCATACAAACGCTTTAATATTTAAGGAATTCTGCAAGATATTAAAATTTTAACTTTTTACCTTGTGGAGTTATATGTGAATTGTTCGCTTGTGTGGCAAGATGATTCTCCAGTTCTTCTATCTGTTGCCTGTATTGCTGCAGCTGTATTTCAAACTGTTCAACCAATATCCTGAAGTAGCTAGATGAATATAAAAAAAATTGGATCACACATTAAGAGGCATCTGATTTTAATGTTTATCAAATGACTAACAGTTATCTATAAAACTATCACGTACAAGGCTATAAGACCGATATTTAAAATAAAAACACATTAACACAAGTTTCTGTTAGATGCAATAACTTACTCCGCTGGGGCTGTATTTTCATGTTGAAGACCAGGAGGAGTTTTCTGTGTTCTTAGTGCTATTTCTGCATTTTTTAGCTCCTAAAAAGAATGGTAAATGAAACAAATTATTAACAGCTAAAGTTCTACAGAAACATTGGTTCCACAAATAAAAAATAGCTGCAATTCTTTCTTCCTATAGGACACTTTCCTTGTGGTTTTCACAAGTAGGATTTTGTTAATGTTAAAACTCTTGACACGGCTTATTTTAATATGCTTAACCAGAGGTTTTCTAAACCTGGACTGGAAGGGGATAGGTGGTACCAGACACCTCACAGCCAATTCAGACAAGATACAATTAATCTTACTTTCATGAAGGGTAGTTTGGCCTTCAAAGTTCAGGAAATGGTATACCAAAATACAACAGCTAAAAACGTCAGTGTCTAAGATGCCTAAGAATTTTTTATTATATTTTTTCTCTAATCCTCAGCAGCAAAGAATAAGTGTTAGGGGAGAGGATGGAAAAAGCATACCTAAAAGTAAGGATGAAAAAGGAAGTAGAAATTGCCATTGTCTTTAAGTAACCTACTGAGTAGGTTACTTAAAGTGCTTAGACTGAACTCCTCATGAATGCTGCCGAGTGCTGTAATCACAGCCTACACACTTCCATTCAACTGTTTAGCACCTTCCAATACCTGACATATTGTTATGAACATCCTCTTCTAGCTTGGCACATGTTGCTTCTTGGCTGTACTGACTAGCCAATATTTGAACATACATATCTTTATGGAAGGAGATGCAAAAACATGTTAATTCTATTCTTCTATGGAAAAAAACGACTAATACTTCTCAAAGGTGCTCCTGCTTTTAGGGGTGCACCAATAAAGATTTTTTTGTCTGATACCAATGGCCAATTATTAACCAGCCATATTGGCCAATACTGATCCGATATCAAGCTGTCAGGCTGTAAGAGCAGCATCTGGCTGGGAAGTCTGTGGGGGAAAGGGGCATGGGGGAGGGGCAGATTGAGGCTCCCACGGTGAGGGAAGAAGTGGGGCTGGAGCAGGCACTGCCCAGCCAGGGCACGGCGTGGGATGGAGCCCCAGGAAGCTCACTCAGCCCCTGACCTCGTCCCACTCCCTCCCTATGGGGGCCTTGATCTGCTCCCCCCCCCCCATCCGGATTTACCAGCCAGTTGCTGCTCTCCCACGCTGCTGGGCTGCACTCCTGGCTGCATGCATGCTACTGCTGCATGCACGCATGTGGCTATTATCAGTGACATTTTTGGCTAAACCGGTCAAAAAAGGCCAATTGCCAATAATGTCAATTTTCTTTTTATCGGTGCCAATCCAATATGGACTGATATATCAGTGCACCTCTACTTGTTTTACTTCTTTAGAGTAAAATATAATACTCTATTAAAGGACCAGGAATGCAGAGGTTGTTAGCTGTGTTAGTCTGAAGTCAGGCAGAAGGTAGGATAAAGCAGCACCTTAGGGCACTTTCACACATGCTCCAACATGTTCTAGTTTGACTGTGTCAGAGCAGACTCAATTGAGTCTGCTGAAGCAATTTAATCAGAATGCTCCAGTGTGCTGCAGTCTCATGTATTCAGCGTCTTGCATTTCAAAATGGTGGTGGGGTGCTTTAACTAAAGCTTCTCGAATAAGCTTTAGAAAAGGTGTCCTCACTACCATTTCGAAATGCAGGATGCTGAATACACAAGATATTGTGGGCGTTTTAGTTAGAGTGGCTCCCAAGAACTGCTCAAATTAAAATGCACCCCCCCTCCCACTCTCAGAGCACGTGTATAGGAACCCTCAGAGACTAAATGGTTCAGAAAGTCATGAACCGTCTTTGGCAACAAGCTACTTTATTTGCCTCTTTCAACCAGTTAGTATCTAAAGACATTTTAAAATGCAAGGGCCCCTTCAGAAAACACAAATTCTTTGTTTTCACTCATTTTTTGAATACAGAAAATTAATAGAACAACCCTTTTGTTGTAAAGAACTCAGAAAGACTACAACAGGTCAGAAAGTTTTTAGCACTCCAGATTCCTATTTGAAATCTCTGGTTTTATCTCGTGGATCACATTTGCACACCTAACACCCTTTGAATTTGCTTACGTAATAACCACAGGATTTCTATCTTAAGTGGTTTTCTCACAGGAGCTTTAGATTTGTGAGGAGTGATCTAAATTTCCATCACAAAAATTGCTTACTGGTAACCATACAATTAAGGAGTTTAATAAATAAAAACTGATTCATAATAATGAAAGGCATTTGGTCTATGAGAAAAGGTACCCAATTTTATTTAAATTGGGGTGCTCAACTCCTGGCCTGAAGACTAGATCCAGCCCATAGGGCTCCCCATGGGTATGAGGGGAGCCCTTTGGGCTGTGGCCCTGCGCAAGCAAGGTAGCATGGGGCCTAATTTTGTCATGCAGAGGAGACATGGGGCTCTATTCCCCGCATGTAAGACCCAGATTATGGTGCCTTAGGACTCTGATCTCAGCATGTGGGGCCAGGTGGAGGCAGCACAGGGTCCTGATTCTGGCACGATGGGCCTCCGAGCACAGCACATGGGGGAAGGCACAAAGTAGTGTGGGGCTTCAGGGACCTGACCCCAGCACATGGGGCCAGAGGTGGCATGAGCCATGTGGCCCTGATTCTGACACGTGGAACTCCAGAGTCCTGATCCTACGATATGGGGGGGGGGTAGAGGTGGCATGGGGCTTTGGGGCCCCAAATCTGGTGCACAGGGCCTAGTGGAGGTAGTACACAGCCCAGGCTGGCCTGTTGACTAGGTCCCATCCCATTCATCTGGCCTGTGGGGACAAAATGTTAAAGCAGCACTGATTTAGAGAAAAAAGACAACAACCTGATACTCATTAATGTACCTGGGCAGTTTCCATTTTCAACTTGTCAATATTAAGAGTATTTCTCTGTAGTCCACTGGCAACCACAGATAAAAGCTGTTTCAAAGCTTTAATGTCTTCCTGTACTTTAAGCATTGCTTTTGAAGACATTCTGCTAATTTCTTCCTGAACTTGCTTTTGTTCCTTCACAAACTTCCTGAGGCAAAAATAAAGTAGAAATTTAACAGAAGTACACAAGTGTTCTACACCTTAAAAAAAGAGTATTAGTTTACTAAAAAAAACAAACAAAAAACCATTAGGTTTGGTAATATCTTAAACTATCAGTACTGCACAATAATTTCATCTTTTATAGAATTACTGTACACTAGTCTCACCAGCACCATTAGCCCAATATTCAAAACCTGGGCTATCAACAGAAACTGTTCAATGGGTTATATTGTACCCTCAGATAAGCCCTCTAGAATCCTGTGTTTGAATAATTAAAATGCATTTGTTACTTTAAGGTGCAAAAGTTTATAATTGCTGCACTATCCTGAATGGTTTAAGGAAAAAGTACTCACTGGAGATTTTCTACATCTTGGCAGATTACTGGAGGTAGATTTTCATCCTTTAGCGCTTTGCTCTCTCTGCCAAAATACAATATATGTTTATAGACACATAAACAAACTTTGGGTTATCAATAAAACTGAAAGATGTGAAAAAATAATTCTGCTGCTTAAGTGTTTATCTATTATATGAATAAATAATTTAACAGTAGAATGAAGACTAGAAAACAGGAGTCCCATTTCCTTGATTTGAATTCAAGTTACTGCTACTACAGATCAGTCTGTATGAAAAATACCTATCAACTAAGCCAATTTAAGGTTATACATTCTTCTTAAGAGTGCTTTAAAGCATTTAGTATATTGTTGGTGCTACTGCAAAATAACTAATAATCAGGTATCCAGCTATTCTGTTTCCCATAGGAAAATGGAGAAAAGCACGGATTTTCCTTTACCCTCATTTTAGAGAAGAAAACCACAGATTTTGCAGTTTTGCAGAGTTCTGTGCCAGGCTGCAGGGGGCTAGGAGGAAGCAGGAGGAAGGTGGTCAGGCAGGGGGCACCATACGCACATATATCAGGGGTGGGCAATTTTTTTGGGCGGAGGGCTGCTTACCCAGTTTTGGCAGGATGTTGAGGGCCGTATGGGTAGCCCTGCCCATTGACAGGTGCCCCGTCCCCTGGGCACCATCTTGGGACCAATGTCCCAAGGGCAGTGGGGCCCAAAGCAGGGCACAGGCTGGCAGAGGTCTGTGGAGCCGGGCTGGGCTGCATCAGCAGGGAGAGTGGGGAGCTGGCCTGGCTTCATAGAGCCCCTGCTGGCCAGGACCCTGCACTCCTGCTGCCCTGCTCTGGGCCCCGCCGGCACTGGCCCCGGGACACTGGTGTGGGCCCTGTGCTCCCCACCCACTCACTCCCACTGCCCCCCACCCCGTGGTACAGGTGGGGGGCAGTGCACAACCTTGAGCCCCTGCTCACCAGCAGGGAAGAAGCTGGTGCTGAGCACAGGGAAAAGTGGCCCTTCGCCTGCCCCATGGCTGGCACTGCCTCCTGCAGGGACTTGCAGACCATGCGGGGCTGTCTGGAGCAGGCACAGGCAGCCCCACATGGGCTGCGAGCAGCTGCAGCACGGGGCTCCAGGCACAGGGCGAGCGAGGGGAGGCTTTTCCCCATGCTCAGCACCAGCCTGTAGGAGCCCGGAGAAAAGCTGAACATGGGGGAAGGAGGTAGCAGTTCCTGTATGTAAGTGTATATACCTGGAGAACAGGTCCCGTATGTAAGTATGGGAGGGTGGGATTGAGGCCCCCATAAGGAGGGAGGGAGTTGGGCAGGGTTGGGGCTGCTGTCCAGCTGGGCAGTGTGTGGGGCTTGGAGCTGCAATGCATGGCCGCCGCAGGGCCCTGGCAGGGAGTGGGATGGGGCCATGGGCAGCTCGTTTGGGCAGCAAAGGAGGTGGGGTTGGCTCCCCACCACTGCGCGCAATCCTGGGGGGCGGGGGACCTGTGCCCCCCATATCTAGGGGCAGGGTGGGGGCAAGTGCATGCGCACCCTGCTGCCCTCCCCTAGGGACTCTGCAGCCCAGCAGCTGCGACCTGGCACTGCAGGGCACAGTGGGGCCGTGTGGGGAAGCTACGTGTCACTGCAAACTTCATGCTGCCCTGGCAATGTGTCTCCTGTGCATGTGGCAACAGCTGGGGTTGCAGTGCAAAGCGGTATCCCTCACTGCTGCCATATGGGCAGTGGTTGCCTCAGCAGGGCAGTGTGGAGCTCGCAGTGGCAACAAGCTGCCCTACACAGCCCCACTGATCCCTGCAATGCCGGGCTACGGAGGCCCTGGGAGAGGGCAGCAGGGCTGGGAGCCTCAGCCTGCAGCAGGCAGCCTGCTTTGTGCACAGATGTGGGAGGCACGGGTACCCCCTGCCCCTCCCAGGGCCTCTGTAGCCCACTGTCTCACTGACCCCATAGCAGGCAGGCTGCAGGCAGTGGCACCCAGGCTCCGCTCCGCTGGGGGTAGGGGGCTGTGGACCTGGGTCCCTAGTCCCATAGCTCTGGCTACTAGGGGCCCCTTCTGGCAGGGCTGGGGGGGTGTGAGGGGCACCAGCAGGGCCAGAGGGGATGTGGTGGGGGAGTGAGGGGCCTTTCATTTTAATCACAGATTTGGGGGGGCGTTTAATCAGAGAATTTGTGATTTTTTTTTAGATCAGGTAAACCTGGATTCCAGCTAATAATAGATCACAAATATTGGAACTTCATTTTGTGGTTTATAAGACAGTCATTTCTCTCTCTGCTTTCAAATGCTGCATAACTGTTTTCTACTTAAAGTGATGTCCAGCTTATCTTGGTCTTGGTGAGATCAACAATATGTCATTAAAACCCAGGCATCTTCCATAACCAGTGTATCAAAGTTAATTCTTTCTTTATTATACACACTTCTAAAAATGTCAAAATAAAAATAGACAAAAGAGTACAAACCTTCATTACTTTCTAATAACCTGTAGAATATGAATGAAAAAACTAAAATATACTTACTCTTGTCTTGTTCCCGTTTTGTCACCTACAAGACACAGACAATTTCATATGAAAACAGATACTCTGAGCTTTTTTGCTTAGTCCTTCAAACAGTTTTTTGAGAGATGAGCTGGCTGCTACTGCTTGCTTAACTTCAGGATAACCCTACCCTACCTGGGAGAAGATTTTTATTTACTTGCATTCATTCTGTGTTATTTTCCTTTCTTGCAGCCTACAGACATGAGCACACAAGGAATTACTGTGAGGGAAAGTGTGTGTGTGGGGGGGGGTGGGGGGGGAAGAGGGCCAGCCCCACCACATCTCAGCTACCCTGTGGTAAATGCCTACATGCACAAATTTGCCCTGTGGTAAATGAAGGCTACCCTGTGACAGCTTAGCCATCAATGAAAGAGGAATAAATGCCTACAAGTTAGCTATCATTTACCAAGCAAATAAGCATACGCACACATAGGCTGTTACTGCAGAGCAGCTGGTGTGTGAGAAAAGCCTACTCCCTTTGCCTAGGGAAAAAGCAGTTTGTGTGCCCATGCCTTATATATTTTTTATACAGCACCACTGGGGCTCATGGCACTTCACAGACAAATATATTATCTCCTTAATGGGAAGGATGGCTCAACAGTCAAGGCATTGATGTGGGATTCAGGAGACTAAGGGTCAATTCTCCATTATAGGCTTGTTACGTGCCCTTGAGCAAATCACCAAGGCCATATACACAAAAGAACTTAAGTTTCCTGAAACGGGTCTCAGGCAGAATTCATGCACCTAATTCTGAAAGCACGATCCTCACAGCTCTTGATTAACCACTTCAGTGCCTTGGTGTATTAGTGAAGTTCACTAAGAACTTAGAGCTCTATTTTGCACAGAACTACTGCTATCTTGACTGTGATTTACCAACTAGGCACATCTACACTTAGGCATGTTCAGACAAGAAACAGCCCAAACTACAGCCACAGTCACTTTCAAAAAAGATGATGGTGCCGCCCCCACCTTTTTGTTTAAAAGCCTACAGGTTAGAGCAGGGGTTCCCAAACACTGGGCTGCAGCCTGGTACCAGGCCACCGCAGGTTGGCTGCTGGGCCATGGCTTCCCCTGCCAGCAATCATGTGCACTGTCTGGGGTTAAAGCTGGGCAGCAGGGCAGCCCCGGGAGGGAGGCAGCCAGCTCCGTGCTCTGTCCCGCTCCTGCCACCATGGCCGTGCCCGATGTGGTGCTGCATGCACACCATGTACCAGGGCCTGCCCCAGGCCAGGCAGGAACACCCCAGCCCCGCCTGCGGCTGGAAGTGGGGGCGGATGCGGGAGGGGAAATGCCCAGGATGGAGGATGAGGAGGCAGCTCTGCTGCTTGCTCCTAGGAAAGGCAGCAAAACCCCTCCTTCCTGGGCAGCCCCAGCAGGGTCCCCCTGGGCCATCTTCTGCACAGCTCTCTCTCCTGCACAACCCAATCTGATCCTCACAACCCTACACCTCCCCCCCGCAATTAAATTTATATACAGGAATTAAATTTAAATACGGAAATTAGATAGTTTGCTGGTCTGCAGTATAAAAAGGTTGGGAACCCCTGGGTTAGAGCAGCAGTTAACGTTGCCACCCCCCAAATTTCTGAACCTACGGGGTGCCTCTCTGGCTGGTGTTTTGGTCCCTGCTCCCAGAACAGTTTATTCATTTGCATTAAGCAGTAAAAATAAAAATAATTTTAAAAAATCTCAACCGGTTAACAGTTGTGAACTCCAGTCCTGTGCACGTAAACTTTCACCATACACTGTGGTGCATAACTCATGGCTATGAATTCTGCTTCTGGGGACAGGCACAATGATTCTAAGTGTCTTCACATCTGGGTTCCTTTCTTGATGGCCTTTAGCACGTCAGTACCTCTGTAAAATGAAGCTAACGCTTCTCTATTTTAAGGGCGGTTGTGAGGATAAAGCTACCCTGAGACGCTCCATATCTATAATAACTGAGCTATATAAGTACCCTGGAGAAAGACCTTCTGCCAAGCTCCCAGTGTACCATTACCTCCTTTGGCAAAGCCTTTCTTTTAAGAAAAATGTATATACCAACAACATGAAAGCACTGGCTCCTTAACAGTCTGAAACATCTACAGTTCAAACAAGACTCATAAGAATGGATTTCATGTAGTTTCTGACATAATACCCTACAGTTTCAGCCATTGGAATCGCTACCCTCAAATTATGCTCTAAAAATATCAAGAGCCTGTAATAAAATAGTATCAGTGGACAGAAATGCAGTGCTACTTCTTTGGAAGTCTGAGAAGAAGTAGTTTAGCTACCCTGATACTGGGCATGTCTACATGAGATGTTTACTGTGGAGCTGACCAATTAGATCCATAGTAAAACGTCAGAATCTACTTGTGTGACATTGTCAGGACAGAGTAAACTAATTTATTCTGCCACAGGATAGTACGTGTATACAAAGATAGTATTTTTATATACAAGTACTATCCTGCAGTGGAGTAAAGTACTTTGCTAGAAGACATGTGTAGACAGGGACTGGGCTGGCTGGGGCATAGGGGTGCTTTAGTGCAGGGGATGCCTGCAGGCTACAGCACATTGAGCTGGGTTGGAGCAGCCCCAGGCTGGCTGGCTGACCCTCTCCCTATCTGGACTCCGTACCAACCACGGCTGCTCCTACCTGGCTCAACGTGCTACAATCCTGCAACATGCTGCATGTGTAAACGCAATGCCCAGAAGCAATAAACGCTCGTGCAATATGCACCTGAGTTTAATGCTTTGCATTAATTGTGCATGTAGATGCACCTGCACTGGAAGTAAATTAAATATTTATTAAAGATTATTAAAAGTGTTGAGAAATTATTTAAATATTTTGGTAAAATTGCACTGTGACCATGAACGCACACTTTTGCAAGTAACTTTACTTAAAATTTCATTAAGAGGATGAAGTAGTACTGTATCTTTAAGCAAGCTATGCAACTTTGAAGGAGAATATTAAGTTAAATTTTGCTGCAAGCATAGTTTGCCATCTTTCTACAAAAAGAGCAACACAATTAGAAATGTTTCCATGATATTTAAAATTAATTACAATAGAAGATAGAAAATACAATAGAAAAGAGTTATTTTCAAAAAACGGTTTCTTTATATTTTTACCCCCATTTATAAGACAGCTTCTTTTCTACCCTGCCAGCTAACTGGTGCATATGCTGAGCTTTGCAAACCTGGTACAGCCTTGCAAGTAAGCGGCCTGTGTCTTTTGGCTCAGGCAACAGAAGCTCATGTTTGAAAAAAGAAAAAAGCAACAGAGGTCATAGGTTTCCTCCCTGCAGCCAATACCACATGCAAAGGTGTTTCATTGCTGAGTGATTGCAGCTAAAGAAGTGCTGGCTCTATACTTGCATAGTAAAACCCACAGTGAAAACAGATGAAAAGGACTAAAGGAAAATCTTCTTAGGTCAATATTGGATGATTTGAAGTACTGGATGCTTCAAAGTTATTGTCACTCCTCAGCCAAAAGCACAGGTTTTGTTATGGTATAGATAATTCAAAATACAACTACTTTGAAATTCAAAGCCATTTTCTGGTCCCCTGGACCAGGAAACCCTTGTTAAATACTTTGCCTATGATTAAACTGCTGCCAGAAGCAGCACTTGGTCAGTCATGGGAACCAGCTACAAAGCTGACTGAATGCAGTCTGTACTGAGCATACACATAGGACACCTGAGGCCTGTACTGTGCAAATATGCCTGCATGAACCCATCACAAGGCTATGTTAAGTACAGCTCTTCTTAATAAGACAATGCTCGCTGCATTCGGTCCCCCTCAGCACTAATTCTTTTTCAAGTCATAGTGAACCACTACGTGGAATACATTTAGGCTTCTTCACTGCCACAGCTGATCAGTGTCTTTCTTTCCCATTTGCAAATTTTCCTCTTTCTTCACCAGCCTTAAATGTCTCGTTAACATCACCGAACGTCTATGTAGATGAAAGGCTGCGTTGTCCCTTGCTTGGCCTGTTGAATGCAACTGGTGCGGCCCTGTCCTCTGTGGGGTGGAGCTAGACCAAGCAGCCCTGTGCCATGTCTGCATATCAATTTTTGGAGGGTGCCAGGACTTGTGTGACAAGAACACCCTGTTCCAATCATGAATGAGTGGCGGGTGTAATTAGCACATATATCCCTTTGTGGG